TAGACTCTAGGATTTTGATGAGCCCTTATGCCTTCTAAGATATGCAGTTTATTCACTTATATGTCATTGCTTTGCTGTGATACAATTGATATGCAGATTTGAGTTGCACACATTAGTATGTACACCCTGGTAAGTGGCCATCTTCACACATCAGTGATGATCTCTTCAAGATCAAGACACTAACCATATTCATCATCTCTAAGAATGCCACGTGTTTTTTTGTTGTTTGCTGTTGTACTGGGAACACTTAATGTGAGATCCGTTCTCTTAACATCCCTAAGTTCACAATACAGTGTTTTAACTGTAGGCCATATGTTATATGGTAGATCTCAAGAACTTCTTTGTCTTGAAAAATAAAAACTTCATGACCACTGAGCAACAATCCTCCACTTACCCTTGACCTAGCCCAAACACCGACTGTTCTATGGGACTGGTGATTTAAAGTGACATGTATAGTGATTCATACAGTATTTGTCCTTTTGAAAATATTATAGCAACTAGATATTTTGTCAAAATTCCCCAAGTTATTTCCCCAGGGATACATCAGTTATCATTTCATTCTCTGGCTTTCCTCTAGTCATAGACACAAATTCCTCCCCAAGATGCTTATCCTTGGCTCCTTTTCTTACTTTTACCTCATCCATGTATGCAGCCAGCTCTCCATTGGCATTTGTGAATTGTATCTGAATACATTCTCCAAACCCAGGTGCTATAAAATAATGGTCAGTCATAGTGAGGATAAAATTTCACCTGTTTTCATGCCTTCCAGAAGCTTTGCATACACACAGATAATCTTAGCTACATACACAATTGTATTGTCTCAGCTTCATCGTAAACCACGTTAAGATGTCTAAAGGTTACTTTAGGGTCTGTAATTACCTGGAAGTGCTGTAGGTCCCAAGAGTTTAACTTCTTCAGAACCTTCATTCTTAAATTTTGAGTTCCTTATGCATGTTGGCACTCTGTAGTTACCACTCAGCCTGACTGGAAAATGTAATGGATTGTCCTACAGCTGGTCCAGAGATTCAGTGTTTTCCAAAGCACTCATAAAAATATCCCTATTTTTGATCCATTTAACATTAAAGTGGTTTGTGTGCCAGTGAAAGAAAAATTTCTGAACAGAATTTGTTGAAGATTAAACATCAAATTATAAGGATGGATGCAATTTTGAAAAAGAAGAGTCAGTGAGAAACTATTTTGTATTTGCTTGGAAGTTTAAAGGAGAATTTAAAATCATATGAAGGTCCCAAGGCACCATTAATAGCCTATTTCATGTGTTTGATTCTTGCAAAGTAAAGATATTATGTTACAGAGTCTCCTAAAATTAAAGAGATGTGGATAAAAAAATCACATGTGATTTACACGTTCTTTAGTTTTTCCATAAACTTTGTTTTTTAAGCCTTGGAGCTTTTCTGTTATTTTCTTGCTTGTATTGGTGTCCAGAGATTTGCCTACATTTTAACTTGTGAAAACATTTTCCCCCTTAGTCCAAAAAGTAAACCAAATGAGCAGATACTCGTATTTTTTTTACCTCCAAAATTTTTAAGATAAATTCCCTTTCTCTCTAGTCTCACAGTTTATTACATCAAAGACAGATAAATTGGGGGAAGATGTTCCTGAGGAATCTCACTTGCCTTTTACTAAAGGTCTGGACACTGACACTCCTGTGTGGAGACCAACTGTCCCTTGCCTGGGGTTCTTGCTTCAGCCTCCTCCTATTTCTTGATTTTCCATTTCACTTTGGAGGATTAGCCTTGTGCTGGACCTCTGCTGCATTTCTACTACCATGGGGGAAATCCCAAGTGTGAGAAGAACCCTAGTGTATTTGCCAGCATCATTCTGTCATGTGTCTCTGTAGATCAGCTTTGCTCAGAAATGTCACGTCACTTCTGCATCGAAAACTTCCTTGTTTATTGATGATGTCTGTGTTCATTTTATCTGAGTCTAGAGAATTTCCAAGTTGGGCAAAGAAAATGATGAGAGAAACAATACCAGAAGCTGAAGCAGTGTGGTTAAACAATAGAGGAAGTATATATTTTTTAAAAAATCTCAAATCAGGCATTGAAGAGAATTTACTCTGGACTATCTTATTTAGCTTATATTTTTGATCCCAAAAGAGTCAGTCTGTTTTGCGTTGCTATCACAGAATTCCATGAGTAACTTAGAAAGGAAAGAAATGCATTGTTCATGGTTCTGGGTTCAGTAAGTCCAATGTCAAAATGCTGGCAATGGGCAAGGCCTTTATGCTGTCATCCTATGATAGAAAATAGAAGAATAAAGAAACACAGGAGATGGAAAGCAAGGGAGAAATAAACTCACTTTTGTAACAAACCTGCTTGCATGATAATTTACCCATTACTTCAGTAATGGAACTGATTCATGGGTGAAGGCAGAGCTCTGATGACCTGGTGAACTTTGTAACGGAGATGAAGTTTCCAACACAGGGGACACCCTCAAACCATAGAAGATGCTGCTTCAGGTCTAGGCTTTGCCACTCACAAGACATGAAGCCATGATGAGATATTTACTTACCCTTAGCCTCTGTTATATTTTATACCTAAATGTCCCCCCAATGCCTCATGTACTCAGAGGCAGAGCATATGGAAGGTGATTGGTTGATGCAGGCACTAGAACTGGCTTGATGTCAGTAGAGTCTGGTTGGTAGAGGCAGATGAGTGAGAGTATGACCTGCAAAGGTTTACCTCCCTCCCTGACTCTGCCTGTCTCTTCTTTCTGCTTCCTAGATGTTATGACATGAGCAGCTTCCTCATCAGACCCTTAGGCCATGCTGTATCTGCCTGGAACCTGCTGACTACTCAAGGACTGAAACTTCTCAAACTTGAGCCAAAAATAAGCCTTTTTCCCTTTAAGTTGAGGGTATCAGATATTTTGTTCTAGTGACAAAAAAGTGACTGACACAGCCTCTTCTGACCAACTGTGCACTGGAATCTTAATGTCTGCTCATCTAGACATAATGCAGATCAAAGCAGCTGGTGCACAGAAAACCAAATTGTGAAGCGCAATAGACATTCAAGCTCCAAAATCATTATTTTCATTACTATTATGGCCAAATTATAGAAAAATTATTCAGCAAAGCTGTTACAAATACATATTTGCTTGTTAAAAATTACTTTCCCCTGGTCATCATTATTTCATTATTTCTAACAACTTTTATTTGCACATGTATGTGTCTACTATATGCTCTGCATTATGGTAAATGCTAGGGACAAAAGGTTTTAAAATGTAAAATACATTTGGGTGCCTAAGAGAATATCATGACCTATTGCAAAAGACAGATGTATAAACAGATGGTTATTACAAAAGATGATAGCATTAGGGCTAAAAGTGGAAGATTATGTATTTACTCTAGTGTCTTATCTTTACCTGGCAGACATGGGACTTCTGTAGTACATAATTGTAATATGCTGCATTTGTGATACTCTTTAATATTTGCATACCTATGAGGTTTCAAAAGTATTCTTCTACTTCAATTTGAATTTTTCCTTTTTAATTCAAGAAACATTTGTTTAGTGCCATAAATGTGCCCAGCATTGTAGCAGCGGTTTGGAAACATGTAGAGGATTTTCTTCCTTTAATTAATCCCCACTCTTTTCTCACATGAAAAAAGTAACATATTAAGGATACTATTGGTTGAATTGTAGTTCTAGCTCATAATCTAGACTTTCAAAGAGGAAAAGTGCCACAAACCTGAATGTAGAGTCTGTTGAAGGCTTAGAACAAAGAACCAAAGTGGATCAGGGGAGTTGCTCTAAGAGAGACCTCTTGTCTAGCATGCTTAATGACATAGGTTTAATCTCCAGCACTGAAAAAAAATATCAAAATGGATAGATTACGACTATTTTACAAAACTGCCATCACCAGTCCCACCTTTACCTCTACCACTGTCTACAGTAGCTACCTATGATTTGAGCTTGCTGTACAAATTTTCTCTCACAATGGTCCTTCAGGATAGGTATGAACCTCATTTTATAGCCAAGAAAAAAGACTCAGAGAGAAAAATGGTTGGTTCAGAGAGCAAGATTCAGAGCTGGAACTTGTTCCAAGATGTTTCAACCTCCAGTTTTCCCACACTCAAATTTACACGCGAGCACTCTAAGTCTTAATGGAGTATTAGTTGTGTGTCTGGTGCGGGACTGGTGTTGAGGGTAGGAGTGGGGAATATAGAGGAGAGGGAGCAAAGGGATGGAGAATAAACTCAGAAGTGAAAATCCAGTAGCAAGAATGAAGAAGGGAGGTGTTCAAGGGCAAGTGCTCTGGACCTTGGGGATATTGAGATGAGTTTTTAATATACTCTCATATCTGACTTAGAATGTTCAAGTAGTTTGCTAAAGATGTAGATGATGTGCCTATCAAAAGTATAAACACTACTGAGTCCAGCACAAACATATTGCAAGTCAGAGCCAGGGTTTTCTAACAGATCCAACATGTAGAAAATGTACCAAATCTTTCCTGGTGTTAGAAAAAAAAAGTCACCTGCAAAATAACAGAGAAGAGACATGGCTAAATATCCAGATGTATGAGGCTTTGGCAGCCCCTTGCCTTCCATGGTTAATGGTGTAGCTCAACAATAAGGTTCTGTGAGTTAACCACAGTGTATAAAGGTAGGTACTGAGCAGAGTTAAATGCTAGTGTGGTTTACAACTACAGTGTCCCCTAGAATTCTCATGTGTATGGAAGATGACTTAATCATTGGAGCACTGCAGTCATCTATGGATTAATTCAGTAATGAGTTCACAGATGAATGTGTTGTTAGGAGGTGTGGTCTGGTTGGCAGAGGCAGGCCACTGGGGGTATTACCTGGAAGGGCTATTCCCTTTTATTGTCTGCCTGTGTGTTGCTGCTATGATGTGAGCAGTTTATTTTTCCAGGACCTTCTACTATGCCCTTTTTGCTTTGGAGCCAGCCTACTCTGTACTAAAACCTTCAAAAACTGTGAGCTAATATAAACTTCTCCTCCTTTATGTTGTGTTTTGTTCCAGTGTTGAAGAAAGTGACTAAGACAAGTACATTCAGAGATGGCCTGCTGTTTGATCAGGGAACTAAATGTCACCATGCATGGGACAGGTGGTGATGACTAGGACTCTGTATCTGCAGAGGAGACCACTTAACAGAGATGACAGCTGTTCTGAAACCCAGAAAAGGCCACCATGGGGAAGATGGATGGGAATCATTCCAAGGGCTCCAAAGGGCAGAGCTGGTTTCAATGGGGAAGATTGCGGAGAATTGCTTTCAATTCATTATGGAGAAGATGAGTGTTCCAGCAATTAAAGCTGCCCTGTGACTGAATGGGCTGCCTCACATGGCCTTAATGAGAACTGCGGCTGACTTGAGAAAATTTAATTACCAGGCAATGCTCAAGTGCTCAACTCTACTTTCATTTCTCTCTTAATGAATTAAAAGTAATCTTGAACTACGTAACTCACTGTATTGTTACGTGATAGTGGTTTCTTATATTGATGATGGATTTTCATATTGTTTTTAAGGCAGAAATAAAGATTTTTTGATCAATTTATGCACAATGGTATTGTATGTTTGTCCTGAGGAGGCACCAAAATGTAGATGTGGAAACAAAAATGTCATCATTGCTAAGAACTTCTTGTTTTTGAGGAAAGTTAATATCAAGACTGGTGATGATGAGGTTTCTGACACCAATTTTAATCTATCATGCTGTAATTATTGACTTGTATTTCTCTATCACTAGACTCATTATCTTGAGGACAAAGGCTTAATTAATGTCCTTTACACTGTTATGCATTGGGCCAGAGAAACTATGCAATTAAGATATTTTGTATAAAATAAATGAGCAAATGATTTACTACAAATGTTCCATAAATCAGTAAATATTTTTATGTATGTATGTACATATGTATGTATGTGTTGAGGAGGTTGTAAATTGACATATATTATGAACCTAAATTATTCTCATGTCTCAGACTATACAATTATGTCCTCCAAATCCATTCTAACCCTTCCCTACGGAACGCATTCCAACTAACATAGAAATGCTGATGGAAGTGCAAAAAGCATGGGAATGAAGAGACAAAGCAAGAAAGAGAATGCTGTAGAAATTGTGAACTTGTACTGGGCCACACTAGTGTAGAATTGGGTTGGCTGGAAGCACTGGGGAAGGCCTTGATGGTTCACATGGGATGAGCAAGGCTACATCTCTGATAGGCTGAGGTTTCTAGAGCAGTTCCAGAGACCTGGATCACAGTTGGGGTAAGGTGAGACTGAAGATGGAGAAAAGATTTGATGGACATTGCGAGAGTCCCAAGAGCACAGGGAATTAGAGTATCGGTTATGAAAAATATGAAATCGCTATACACATGCCTTGATTTATCAGTGTGGCTTGCCAAGCGGAGAGGTACATAAATGAAACAAGTAAATCTGTGTGAAGCTATTTGTTCTGAAGAAATCAGAAATAAACCTTCCTCTACTCCTTGGCCTCCAGTCCACTTTTGCTGTTACAAATAGCGAGAACTAATCCAACATTTCTAAAATTTTGCAATCATAGGATGCTAATAATAGAAGCAATTTCAAGAATATCTGCTCCACTTCCCTGAGGCAACACACAAAAGTTAAATATCTATAGATTGTTAGAAATGGAGGCAAGACTGATTGCAAGCCCTGCTGCTTGGGTTAGACCTTGTCACCCATCAATGACCTGCTGCTCCCTGTCCTTAATGTCCAGCTGGGTGAATGGCAAGTAAATTCTAGCATTCTAGACTCTGTGCACCATCTGGGTATGTGGCAGAGCTGAACCAAGACAGACCAAGACTAGGCAGGGCTGGCAAAGAAAGTCCTAGAAGGAGGGGAAGAGGAAGGGTCTTCCCGAAGTAGAAGGGACCACTGGCTGACGAGGACTTTCTGTGGCACTCCACATGCTATGGCTTGCTTCAGCCTCATAGCCAGCTCCTAGGGCCAATCTTTTTCCATCAAATATTCCAGCACAATGTTAAGGATAAGAGAAATTGACTGTGCACACAGTTACTGAAGGTAAATCTCTTAGTCTGTTAGTGCTGCTGTGACAAGACACCATAAGCTAGGTTGTTTATTAATAAGAAAAGTTTAAATCTCACAGTTCTGGATGCTGCAAATACAAGATCAAAAGACTAGATTTGGAGTCTGGTCAGGACCCAAATTTTGGCTCAAAGATGGTATTGTCTTTGGCTAACTTCACACAGTGGAAGGGAGAAGGGAACCTTTAGAGTTTATTTTATAAATCAGTAATCCCATTCATGACATTTCATTCCCATACTCTTCTTTGAAAGCCTTCTCTTACCATCACCCCAGGGATTAGATTTGATATATAAGTTTGAGGGGACATGAACATTCAGTCTGCAGTGCCACACGTGTATTTCCTGGTCCCAACACAGGTGTACTTTGTTTTTAGTGTTAGAGTAGAAATCACACAAATCTAAGTCACTCCTGATACATGTATGTTCTATCAACACTTTGACTTTGATTTCCTGAGGAGTAAGGAGGGATGGAAAGGAAAGAGCTGAAGGTTACTCAATTTTCCTTTGTTTTTCTGGCACTGTTTTTGCAATGGACCCATGGCTGATACAAGGAGGTAACATTAGTAGGAAAAGATCTGTGCTGTTCCTGGTTGCTCTGTTTCTTGACCTTCTTTCTTTTTTCAGTTAAAGCATATTCTGGTTGGAAAGCAAACTGTGGCTTCAAGGAATTGTGAGCATGAGACAACACAGTATTGTGCCTGGGTTCTCTGCATCACAGGGTCTCTGGAAGTCTGTGCTCCTAAGGTATAGACAATGCATAGGATAAGGGGTAACAGGGAGCTGCCACAGCTTGGCATGTGAATTGTTCATTTTTGTTCATGAGTAGATTTACCTCATAGAATACAAGTTTGAAGGTTAAAATTGTCAAGGGTGTCAAGATCTGTATAGCGGCTGAGCTGTTTGGGGTACTTGGTCCTACGGGGTTATGGAAGTGATAGGCATATGAAACACCTCTTCCCTCCCTGAACTACCCTACACCACCAGAGCCAATGAATCATGTCCTCTCTCTCTCTCTGTCTCTGTCTCTGTTTCTATCTCTCTGTCTGTCTGTCTGTCTCTCTCTGTGTTTCATTCTCCTTTTCTCTCTCTGATTGAAGCCAGGCCTTTGCACAGAGAATCATCTCCAGTTCTTTTTGTATTTTGAGACAGGATCTTTATAAATTTCCCAGGTTGGGCTTGAATTTGATTTCTTCTACTTTAAACTTTCAGAGTGCAGAGACTGTGGATGTGTGCCATTATGCCTGGTAATTTCTCATCTTAGTTGCACCCAAATCTTCCCCTTCTCGTTCAACACTTGTTTCTCATCTTTGGCTTGGAGCCACTTTGTCTTCTATTTTCCATGGTCTTGCATGGATCTCACAGCAGCTTTCACTGATACCTGGAATTGTCACATTTTCTAGAAGCTTTCTCAGTCTCCTTTATAAAACAGTAATGGCAGCAATTGACACACAAAAAAGACTGGTTTCCAGTCCTTGTATCTCTGTTCACCCTGTATCTCTGAGGGCCAAGCACTTCAGCAGAACTCTACTCAGCCACTCCTTTCTATTTCTTAAATCTCTATGCTATCCTGAAAGTAATGTAAGTAACTTAAAGATAATGGAAGAAGACTGAGAAGCTTGATCTTTTTTCTCTTTCATACCCTCACAAAGTCACACTCCTTAATTCTGGATCTCACTCTGTAGCTGTCTTGATCCAGCCTCCATGAGAGAGTGACAGAGTCTACCTGACCAACATCCACTGCTAATTCCTTGGAAACTTCACCATCCAAGTGGCCTTATTGTGGGGGTCCTTTGAGACTGCTTTCTGTCATAGACTCATATATCATGATGGTCAAGACACTCAGGGAGGGTCTGACCTTGGAGGAATAGGTTAGGGTCCTAAATATCACGAAAGGATGAACTCAGAGATGAGATGGTGGCTTCATGGAAATAGTAAGAACTCCCATGGTGGAAGACATTAGCGGTCACCAAGCCAACACCTGAAGACTGTGATTTGCCCCACCACATGGACACTTGTGTTACCCAAATGGAGGAGCTGGGCCAACACATGATCATGAATTTTCTATCGTGTCTGACCTCTGTTCATAGATTCCTCAGTCATCTGCAAGATGGGCTCTTCCAGTGGTCTATGAACATGCTGAGTCTTATCATGAGCTCAGGTAACACATCGGGCTTTTACAAGAAGACAGCTTGGCCCTTCAAGTGCAGAGTGGAAATCTGTTGGGAGCCACCACATTGCCGAGCCGCCGCATATAGCGATCATGCGGCCTGTGGTAAAGAGTAAAGCCTGAGTTAGATTACCCCTCCCATCGAGCACGTTAGTTTCCTGCTTACCGCGTAAACAACCCGCTCAATAATATGTTAGCCAATCAGCTTGCCTTGCTTACTTTAATATGATTGGACACTGTATCCGTATATATACTGGTGCCACCCCTGGGGGGAAGTAGAAGCCCGGAAGGAGCGGCGGAGAGCGGACCGGTAGAGGCTTCGGAGCGAAGCACGGAAGGAGCCGCGGGGAGCGGACCAGAGGAGGCTTCGCCTGGGAGTGATCCCAGGGCAGGCTGTACGGAGAGAAAATAAAAGAAAAGGTTGTCCACTGCCAGACTTTGTCGTGTGTCCTTCCTGCCGGCCGGGAGCGACATCGACATTTGGAGGCCCGCATGGGGAACAACTGATCACCCCCGAGACGTGGTAGTGGACAACGTTCCTTGATACAGCACTGCGAGACAGGTGAGCAGGGGATAAACCTGGGCCCTGGGTGGCGCGCACCTATAGGGTTTTTAGACTCCCCTCAGGCTCACGCGTAAGTGGCGGATTTTTGGGCCTCACGCGGTGAGTAACATATTAAATATGGGTAACGTACCGAGTAACGACACCCAGCCCTTGGTACAGGTCCTCCGGAAGCTCTTAAAGTCCAGAGACCTCAAGGTGGGACGCAAAACGCTGGAGAGCTTTTTTGAGGAGATTGATAGTTTCGCTCCCTGGTTCTTGCCCACAGGGCACTTAAACCTGCCCTCGTGGGAGAAGTTGGGCAGGGATCTTTCTCTAGCGGAAAGGGAGGGCGGGGCTTCGGTCTTCGCTCGGCCACTGTGGGAAATGATATATGCATGCTTGAAGAGCGAGGGTGGTTGCAGGGAAGGTTCTCAAGAGCTCATTAAAGTGCGTAGGGCATTCGAACAGGCCCAGTCAGGGAGCTCCCGGGAGGGGTCCGTCAAAGGAGACAAAGATATAAAGGAGGAAGACGGGGCTCAGGCCTCGGAGTCATCTGACTCCGAGAACGAGGAAGGCTTAGACAACGATGAGACCAAGGAGCCTAGATGCCAAGAGGATAGGCCGCTCGATAAGGAGTCGCAGGGTTCTTTCCCAGCGTTGCGCCGCGAATTGCGCTCCGCTCAACTTGGTCTGCGGAGGAGTAGAGAGCTCCTGAGCGCCCCCTGGCGCGAGAGGGAGGCGAAGCCTTCCGCCCCACCTTGGGGGCTGTTCCCGGAAGCGATCCCTCGCCACGAGGCGGCCGCGTGGGAGCTCCCTCCCCTTTCGCCAGAACAGGAAGTGATGCACGGGCCCCCATTTTCTGCCCAATCACGGCCGCCGTCTTATGCTCCGCCGCCGGCGGGTCGGTATTTTTACAGGCGGCTTTGGCAGGGGGGACGTTTGTCTCATGAGGTACATCCACCACCTGGGATAGATAGTGGCCCCTACGGGATATTTCCTGTACAAGTAGCTATGGGCCAGGGACGTAATGCATGGGAGCCTTTTGAGATAAAGCAGATTAGAGAACTTAAAAATGCAGTTACAACCTTTGGGCCGACTGCGCCTTACACCATTGCCATGCTGGAGAACCTGTCTTCTGGGCCCCTCACCCCCGTGGACTGGATTCAGCTGGCAAAGGCGTGTCTGCCCTCGGGTAGTTACCTGGATTGGCGAGCCTGGTACGCAGAGTTCTCTGCAGAGCAGGCTGAGAGAAACGCCAGTTGGGGAAACCGGGGGTGGAACAAGGAAATGCTTATGGGAGAAGGTCGGCACGCTGATGATCAGACTCAGTTCCCCGGCGCTGTCTATGAACAAATCAATGCCATAGGGCTCCGCGCCTGGAAGCAGGTAAGTGGTGCCGGAACAGCCTCCTTGTGTCTTTCAAAAATAATTCAGGGTACCACAGAGCCATTTGTTGACTTTGTGGCCCGAATGCAAGATGCTGCCGATAAAATATTTTCTGATCCGGGAGTGGCTC